TGCGATAGATTTTTGGTACAATATATGGTAAAGACAACAGTCATAGTGGCAGTAAGATATATTTAGGTATATGAAAACATTTTTATATTGTAATTGAAAATAGTTATACACCATAAAACATTAAGTAAAAAAACGTTTTTTAGATTTAGTCACATTATCTTGCATAACATACTACTCTCCTACTCTTACTGATACAAAGTACTTTGCTAAAATATATTGCGAAAGTCAATTGTTACTCAATCTCAACTGCCATGATTTTTATTTGCTGATTTTTAACAAAATAAGGAATATATCAAACAAAAGTTCTATCCCTCAAACTTGACGTAGACATATTCTTCAAAAGACATATATGAATAACTAGGTTAGCTTAGGTTATACCGTCGATCCCTAGTAAATCCACTTAGACTTATTAACTAATATTAAATTATTTTTCTAATCGTTACTCATCTTTTCATACCTTCCGTATACTTAATCTAAAGTTGTTTTATGCTATAAGGCATCTGTGAATGAGTTAGTAGGCATAACAAAGTATCAGTTATTTATATTTCAGAATCTGGTGGTTACTGAGGTCACCTCTGTATATAAGATCAGTAGTCAAAACAGGTACAGCTCCGTGACTACATTAGCAATTATATAGCAGATAGTACGCGATGGTATAGCCACAAGCTGTATCAGTTATCCTCTAGGTACCCATATACTAATCATTACCTATAATTCTATGACATACTGTTCTTTTCTCAAAAACACACAAATTAGATGGTAAAATGATAACAATTTCACCAATTTTAAGCAAATTTGATAGTCTATTAATCCATACATTCTTACATTCTTAATAGGTAAAAAGATATAGAGAGAAGGTGATTTTTAGGAAACCAGAACAACAATCGAAAACTAAAACTTACTTAAATCAATATGATTACAGTGATTGGGGTAACGCTTGGGTAACTCTTGACTATTGACTAAGGCCTCTACATATATCACTAGGCAACACCCAATAACAAGACTTCTAAGAAAACGCAACAGACTTATAAGCCGTCTATATAGAATCACTCTATAAAGACTGCTTTGTTCTAAAGGAAAAATAGGTACAATTTCGATATACTGGCAAGTCTATACGATAACGGATTTTAGTAAAAACATGCTTGGTGTTGGAGATATTGGACATTAAAGTTAAATTTTTTACCAACAAGTAGTAGATACGCCATCTGGTATATTCTTGTTGGCACTAGACGGCGTATATACTTTCGTTATGTTAGTGTAATTAATCTAAAAGTTTAATAAGTTTTAAACTTAATATTTCGACAAGTACGCTATATTGATATATTGATTAGTGTGAGAAGTTGAACAAAATCGGTGATTCTACTAATGTACGTTGCATGTCCGGGTAACCGAAGTCGCGCTAAACAATAGTTTGACAGAAATACTGATGATAGCAATAATCTATGCTCGATAATGATTTTAAAGCGTGTTTATATGTGGTTTTGTCATTTAAGTAATATTAGTAAGCGATAGTCGCACCAGTTCTCCTACTTCTACAATGCATTACAATCAAGTTATTTTATATATTTTATAGTATATAATTGTTTTAGATTACAATTACATTAACCTTAACTATTTACTATATAATTTAATATTATATATAATAATTTAATATTTCAAAGCATATTTTGTTACTTTCAGTGTAATTCGTACAAAGTAATGCGATTAATAATAACCAATGATTCAAGGTAGCAACTCAACAGAAATAGTATAATTAAGCGTTAGTAGGGCAAAAAAGTGCTCATAATAAAGCACAGTGGTAGCATTTTACGGTATAAATGTTAAATAGCAAAAAAAAAAAAAAATTACAAAAAAATACTAATGTTGCCCACAATGTGTAGGGCTTCGGGATTCTACTCAAATAGCCCAACTGCTTGCGATCTGACAGTTGGTTTAACTAATGGGTGGTTTGGGTTGTTGTGGAGGAGTTGAAATAATGTTATTATGGCATTATTTTGGTTACGCTTAGTTGCAAGTAAATACAGGAAGTGACAGAGGAGGAGGACGAATGGGAAACTGCGTTAAAACTGATTAATGACACTACAAATTGAAAAATTCTCTAAATTTATTACATTTTATGCTTGCCATACACTACAAGAATTTTAAGTAGTTTACTTCATTTTTTATAAAAACGAATATATAAGTGTTTAAAAAAATCTTACAAAATTCAAAAAGAAACCAAAACAAAATATTTTTTTTTTATTTCCAAAATGGAAATCACTCGTCACTTTTGTAATAACACTTTTCTGCTTATTTTATTTCATTTCGATTTGCAACTTTAATTTTATTTTATTATACGTATTTATATACGTTTGAGAAACAATTTCCTTTTTTATCTTAAGAAAATCTGTAGAAAACTTTCACTGGCGTACGCCTTAAAGTTGGCTCGATATTTTTCTTAAGTTGATTTTTTTTTACTTTTTCTTCACATCAATTTTTCTAGCACTAAAATTCGTTGTTTTCGTATTTTTTTGGCCACATTTTTGCGTTTGTGTTATTTGTGTCGCGTTGTTCCGTTTTCATTAAATAACAAAATATATTTCGTTGTTTTATTAAAATAAAGCAAAACTAAATTAATTTTATTAATTTTTTTTGTTGAGGAAAGTTAACACACACAAAACGCGTTCGAAGTAGAAAGAAGAAGAAACGAACAGCATTTGACATATTTTCGAGCGCAAGGCATTTAGAAATTTCCCAAATATACGCTAACTGTTATACGTGATGGGAAATTCGCCTGGTTGAATACCTCAAGTTATTTGTAAACAAAAGCGAAGTTTGTTAAGTGGTGAGTTCGTAATTAATGGTGTTTACGATATGTAAATCTAGGGTAATTTTTTTACACTAGATGCTCTTTTAAGGCACTTTTAGTGCAATTTTATTTTCGATTGGTAAAACTGGTGGAAAATGTATAACACTTTGGGTTAATTTATAACACTCTAGATATTTTGCTAGAGGAGCAAAACATTAACTTGCAATTAACAACTGTTTTATATGATTTGACAGATAAACTGTGATTTGATTCGATATATAGATATACGACTAAAAGATTACTCTAAAAATGACCAGCGCCAAGTTAGCAACGTTGCTGGAAAATGCAGGGCTGTATTTTTAAAAAATTTTTAAAAAATGATATTTTCGTTAATATATGGAATTAAACTAAAACAAAAGGCATTATTCTTATAGAGTTTTGAAAGATCTTTCGATTGGCATTTACCAATTTCAGATACGATGCGTATTTTTCAAATTATAGGGAAAATAAAAATTGACCAAAATCGACTTTTTTTGAAAAAATTTATTTTTAGAAAAATCTAGAACAGGTACAATGTTGCACGGAAATACATCTAATAGAGAATTAATCAGGCTATCAACAGCAAAAAAAATCATAAAAATCGAGTAGACCAATTTTGAGAAATTTGATGTCAAAATTTCCAAACTCGTCAATTTTCAAGCTTTTTAAAAAATGTAAAACGCAAAAGTATAAAAAAAACTTTCACAAAACCGGATAAATAAGAATCATTTCAATATCTCAACTAAAACATCAAAATATTATTAAAATAAGCATAAATTTTGCACATGTTCCGATATAAGTGCATTTTATTTAAATTTCGAAGGAGGTACAACCTGCACGCTTAAAGTTCCTAAAACTAAATTGATTACTCTTTCAAACAAAACTAATTTCACAAAAATCGAGTAGAACGTTTTTTAATTATATATGTTTAAAAAAGTGGATTTTTTACGAAAAAAACGTATGTTAACTAACACCATTCTAATAACATATTAAGGTGAAAACCTGTACAAGGCTAAAAATTCACCACCACTGTAAAGTTTATTAAAGAACTCTGTTAAAAGTATTTATAGGTGGTTGTATTCTGTGGTAAGGGGATGTTTATAAAATTTAATTTATATAATAATAATATTTTAAATTTAATATTTAAATTAAATTCAAAAATATATTGCACATAAAAAAGAAAGATTTTCGTCTGTAAACTGCTAACATATACCGCCATATCGAACATTTTTCAATATATATTAAAAAACAAAAATAAAAAGTAGTACAATGTTGCACGGTATTTTTTTAAATTGTTTATATTTTTCTAATATAAATTGATGTAAGAATTATCAAAATCGAGTAGCAAACAATAAAGATATTAACAAAAACAACTTTTGCAGCATATTCACAAATGCATTGAACTCTGTTACAGGCATTTGTTGTTGGTTATATTCTGTGTTAGGGGACACTATCAAAATTTAAATAATTATAAATTTTACGGAAGGGTACACTGTTGCACGGTATTTTTTTAAAAAATAGACATATTCTACAATATTTTGGTATATAAATCTTTAAAAATGAGTAGACAGATTTTCTAAAATTTTCAAAAATATATTGCATATAAGAAACAAAGATTTTCGTCTGTAAACTGCTAACATATACCGCCATATCGAACATTTTTCAATATATATTAAAAACAAAAATAAAAAGTAGTACAATGTTGCACGGTATTTTTTTAAATTGTTTATATTTTTCTAATATGAATTGATGTAAGAATTATCAAAATCGAGTAGCAAACAATAAAGATATTAACAAAAACAACTTTTGCAGCATATTCACATATGCATTGAACTCTGTTACAGGCATTTGTTGTTGGTTATATTCTGTGTTAGGGGACACTATCAAAATTTAAATAATTATAAATTTTACGGAATGGTACACTGTTGCACGGTATTTTTTTAAAAAATAGACATATTCTAGAATATTTTGCTATATAAATCTTTAAAAATGAGTAGACAGATTTTCTAAAATTATCAAAAATATATTGCATATAAAAAAGTAAGATTTACGTCTGTAAACTGCTAACATAACATATACCGCCATATCTTATTTTATGTTCTTATGTATACTAAATACAAACAACGCATTTGCCTAATTTGAACATTTATATAGTTTGCGTTTATCTTTTGAACAGTAAAGTTGTGCGCAGGAAGCATAAATCTTAATAATGGTAAGTATAAATCAATAAAAAATATTTAAAAATTTATAAATTAAATTTAAAAAAGTAAGAATAAATATTTAAAATATAAATATTAAATTTTTAATGCTTTTATTTCAGAATCAAGATCTTCTAACGGCAGTATTAGTGGGATTGCTAGCACGCGGTGAGAGTGTATGTAAATTTAATAATATAAATAATTTAATTTAAAACATATGTATATATAATATATTATTATTTATTTTAAATGTAATAATAAAATTGAACTTTTTTGTATTTCTCTTTAGCAACCGCAGCGTCAACGGCAACACCAGCGTCAACACCAGCGTCAACAGCAACAGCAACAGCAGCGTCAACACCACCAACAAAGACGTTGGCGTAAAGGACGCCGATGGCAAGCAGGAACCGTCAACCGGCAATATGACGAAAACAGCCGATTGCAATGTGAAAACCGCCGTCGACAAGATGAAAATCGCCGACGGCTGGTTGAAAACCGCCGGCGGCATGATGAAAACCGCCGACGGCAGGAGGAGAACCGCCGACGGCATGCGGAAAACCTCCGTCGGCAGGAGGAGAGCCGAAGTGTGCTGGCGCCGACAGTAGAAAACGGTGTTGCAGCAATAAATAATAGAAATGTAAGTTAAATCATATTTATTAAAATTTTTAAATAAATTAAAGTTTTTTTTTATATTTTCAGAATAACCAAATAAATGAAAATGAACTGCGAATCAGATTAATTGAACTTGAGAAGGAAAATCTGGAATTGAAAAAAAAAATTAAATAATGTAGTTCTTTTTCTATTTATTATAATGTTTTTATATGCAATATATTTTTGAAAATTTTAGAAAATCTGTCTACTCATTTTTAAAGATTTATATACCAAAATATTCTAGAATATGTCTATTTTTTAAAAAAATACCGTGCAGCAGTGTACCATTCCGTAAAATTTATAATTATTTAAATTTTGATAGTGTCCCCTAACACAGAATATAACCAACAACAAATGCCTGTAACAGAGTTCAATG